CTCCTTGGCACACAGCTTGGCTTTTCATCCCTCTGCCTTTGTGGCCGACACCACACTTCCCACTAACGTGGTCTGCCTCGTCTATAAGAACCCTTGCGTTGAGGCTGTAGAGACGGCTCAGTAGGTAAAGAGTGCTTGCTCCACCAGCATGGAACCCTGAGTTTGAAGCCTAAAAGCACAAAAGATCCAGGTCTGGTTGCCTGTAAGCCTAGCGCTGTAACAAACGGAGACGGGAGGATCACTGGGCCTTGCTGGCAGGCAGACAACTTAGCTGCAGCAGTTTCGGTTGAAGACTGTAGCTCAAGGGAAAAAGGCATCTCATGTCCTCCTCTGGCACAGACACCACATTCTCTCAAATGTAAACACATACACCACCACCACCACCACCACCACCACCACCACCACCACCATCACCACCCTTGGAATCACATTTGAGCCAAGCCAGATAACAGAATAATGTCTCCATCTCAAGATCTTCACAATCACATCTGTGTAGTACCTGTGGTGGTTTGAATGAGAATGGCCCCATTCACTCATGTGTTTCAATGCTTGGTCCCCAGTTGCTGGAACTGTTTGGGAAGGATTAGGGGGTGTGGTCTTGTTGGAAGAGGTGTGGCCTTGTTGGAAGAGGTGTGGCCTTGTTGGAAGAGGTATGTCACTGGGAATGGTGGGATATGAAGATTCAAAGGCCCATGCCAGGCCAGCCTCTCTCTCTCTCTCTCTCTCTCTCTCTCTCTCTCTCTCTCTCTCTCTCTCTCTTGATCAGGATGTAAAGCTCATAGCTATTGCTCTAGCACCATGCCTGCCTGCTTACCATCATGATGATCAGGCACTAACCCTCTGAAACTGTAAGCCAGCCCCAGTTAAATGCTTTCCTTTATAAGAGTTGCCTTGGTCACGGTGTCTCTTCACAGCAACACAACAGTGACTAAGACAGTCCCTAATGCCACAGAAGGTCACACCCAAGATTTGGGCCATCAGGAAATGGCTGTCTTGGGAGGGCAGTGTCATGTAGCTGGGACAATGGGCAACACAGAGACCTTTGTGATGCTGATGTTTGTCACCTTGACTACAGTGTTGGACACACAGACCATTCACAGAGGACCCAGTGCACACTCACAAATGGTTCCAGGGACTCTGGTGAGATCTGGGTAAGAGCTAGTGGTTACAACAGGTCAGTGTCCTTATCATGGCACTGAGCCACAGTTTTGGAAAATGTCACTATTGGGAAAAACTTGTCTGAGAGCTCACTCTTCATTCTGTTAAGAGTGTTAGTCTGCAGGTATTGCCTAAAAAATGTCCACATTAAGAGTGTGACCTGAGTTCAGTACCCAGTGCCAATATCAGGCAACTCACACCCACTTGTAACTCAGCTCCATGGACCTGGAGCCCTCTTGTGGCCCCTGTAGGAACCTGCAATAGAGAAGCCCACCACACACACACACACACACACACACACACACACACACACACACACACACTTAAAAATAAGATAAACTTTTTTTGAAGTGCTGCTCAGCATGGTAGTGCATACCTGTAATCCTACCTCCTGAAAATTTGCATATGCCAAATATGGCCAGCCTGGACTACAGAGCAAAATTTGGCCTCAAAACCACATGAAAAAAAGAAAAAGAGAGTGCTAAGCTGGGGCTATGGCAGAAGCTCACTTGGTTACTTGGTTACTGGTCCCGTGCCCGAGAGTCTTCCAGTCTTGCCCACCACAGCTGCCGTATGTCAGGAGGTGAGTTCACTTTCCTGCATGCAGGGGACATGGTCAGGTACCGGGCAAAGCAGAGCCCATTGGAGTACACTCCACAGCACTCCGCTAATTTAGAATCAGGACACAAGAGAGAGCCATCCTGTGTGTGGCTGCTTTGTCCCATAAACGCGGCACCTGAGCATCTGCAGTCTGTCTTGCAGAGGGAGAGAGCTTGTGTGGTGAGCGCTCCCATGCCTAAGGGAAGCCGACGAGGTCTGGAAGAGGGCACTGGCTTCCCGCCAGCTCTCCACAGCTCCCTACAGGTCCTCTCCTTCAGGAGCACTGGCATTAGCCAGGGCTTGGATTCCACAGGATTCCTTTTGTCTTTATACCAATTCCTCCTCCACCTCCACCCTCCCAGGGACGGAGACGGCGCGCAGGGGGGTCGGGGGTAGCTTCTGTGATTCATAGCAAGGGCTCTGCACCCCATGCCTTCCCCAGTCTTTGGACACTGTGGAGAGGAAAGAGCATGTGTTAACCCTCCAGGACCTAGAATGAAATTCAAGAAGCCCTTTTTTATCCTGGATTTTGACCCTCACTCCCGCCTCTCCGCTCCCAACAAGCACACACTTGTCAGCCTGCATGCAAAAGGAGGGGGCAGCATGCTGTCCGTAAGCTCTCTCCCCTCTTAGTCTCTTCTCTGAACTCTGCCCCGTGCCATGCACACACTAGGGTGTGGCGCCTGTTCCTGGGACTGGCAGACACCATCCACTCTGTAGCAGAGGACAGTCCGGGGGAAACTTGGGTGAGGCTTAAATCCTGTCACATCTCAGAGAAAGGGAGAATGAGAAGAGCCCTCAGCTCCCCCGGGCAACCAGGAAACAATTTGCAAGACGGAATTCAACAAGCAATGCCAACAGGACCATAATGACCATATTTATGGGAGAATGAGGAGGTCTGAGCTCGGGTTTTCATTATCGTGTGTACAAATGTGATCTTCTCCTTGCCGCCCGCCCGCCTCCCGCTCCGGCGGCAGCTGTTGGCTGGTGCGTGGTAATTTGATGTAAATTGCCCCCAAATATGGTAATTCCCTCCTCTGCCAGGGGAGCTTGAAGTCACAAACCTGGAGAGGTTGGCAGCAGATGTTTTTTTCCTGCTCTGCAGGCTGCTGGTGTTGGGGGAAAGGGGCAGCAGACCCAGAGACAATGCTGCTTCTTCCTGTGGGGGACGTGCCGTGGGCACTCAGTGTCCACACCTGTGAAATAGGTGCAATGCCCCTTCTGCTTGAGGTAGCAGAGAAGATAAACATTACTCCACTACTCCACATGCTATGTCCCGTGCCATGGACTGAATAGTCGTTGGTCTTATCATTTTGGATCTCAAAGGTGGTAGGTACAGGGGGGAGGGGGCTGGGAAATCAATGTCCACTGCTATTCCTTGGTCCTCAGTGGTGGCTTCCCAGGAGCAGAAAATAAGAATGAGGTAAGTACAGTGGGATTGAACGTGGTGACTAACTCCTGTAATCCCAGGATTTGAGAGGTCCAGGCAGGAGGATACCTAGGAGTTTGAGACAACCCTGGGCTACTTGGTGAATTTCAGGACAGACTGAGCTACAGGGTGAGGCCCTGTCTTAAAATAACAAAACAAAGATAAAATAATAAACCAATAATGATTGTGCTAAGGAATGCCTAACCGAGACCAGACAAAGCTTTGCTACCATTATAACCTAATGTCTCCCTGGAGTTTTTAAGAAAAAAAAAAATCAATACTTCAATATGTAGATGAGCAAGCATGGCCAATTTCCTCGGAGAAAGACGACGAGGGACTTAAGGAAAGATGTGTTTTTCTCCCTTTTCTGTTTTTCTTTCATCAAGAGTGAAAGGCACACACTAAAACAACCTTGCGATGGCTTTATTCCAGGAAAACTACAAAAACCAGAACGCCTGGTGTGGGTGGCACTTCCAGGAGAGGTGATCCATCCGGGGGTGGGGGGTCGGAGAGTGAGGGATGGCAGCCTGCCCAGTGTGGACATTACGTGGGGCCAACTAACAATGTGTCCCCAAAGCCAAATCAAGATAAATGATGCAGGTGTCCCGCTAATGTGAATTTCTTTCGTGGAAATTGTCCAATAGAAGGGAAGAGGCACGTGACAAAGAGCTGTGGGGGTGTTTGGGAAGGAGGGCAGAACCCCTCCATGGCCGACAGGGAGGGAGGCAAGCCAGGATGCTGCTGCGCTGCTGTGTAGCGCACTCTGAAGCTCTCTGAGGGTTGCTGTGTTCTGGGGAGGGGACATGCCCTGTGAAGGGTGTAGTTTTAATCCAGAGAAAGAGAACAAAAAGATTCTTTATATCTTTATATCCAAGGAATGCCTGGATGCCAGAGCCGGGACAAAAAACAGCAGGTGCCCAGCACAGAGGGAGTCCTTCTAGGACTCTGCATGAGACTCTGCCTTCGTCACAGGGAGTGGCCCCCAGCCTTGGATGGGCTCTGGGAAGCTGCCTGGGTAGGGGGACCTGGAATAGGTGAGAGCTCAGGTGCAAAGATGTTTCTTTTGGTCAGAGCCTCCAAACTGTGGCCTGGGCTGGCTCCTTCAGGAAGCTCAGGGGCTGGAGGCATGCAGGCACAGGTTGGAAGAGTCACGCATGACTGCACAGTGGGATTATATGTCTCCTAGGATGCCGAGATGATACTAATGAACGCCTACCCATTCCAGCCCATATGTCCAAACAGCCCCACAGGAGAAAGAGGCAAAGTCATTTATTCATGAACCACGGGGAAGGAGAGAGAGGGAGAAGGGAGGGGAGATAAAGAAGGAATGAGGGAGAGGGGAGGGGAGGGAAGGGAGGGAGAGAGGGAGAGAGGGAGTGGAGAGACAGGGGAGAAGCAGGGAGGGAGAAGAGGTAGGAGGAAAGAGTGGAGCCGGGCACACTAAGCGTAATCCCTTTGTAAACACGGGCAGAAACTTGTCTTCCTAATTGAAAAGCCCATGTGGGCCGCTTAATCCAGTCCATGTTAATGAGACCAACCACATTAAAGCAGTATCGACTGCAGTCGCCACAATGCCAGGGGGAGACCAGAGGGAATATATCCACAGGAGTGCAGCCAGGGCAGTTCTGGTCCTGAGGATGCCGAGTGCATGTTCTAACATCCCGTGGGACAGGCAATCCAGTCATTCCGCAGGGGCTGAAGGGGCGTGAGGGAGGGGCACCCCCCCATGACCTGGATCTTGTCCTCTTAAAAGGAACAAAGTGACCCGAAAATAATACGATAATTAGTAAGATAATGAGGTAAAAACACTCACCCACGCAGTGTGGCAAAGTGCAAATGTGTTCTTTGGCTGGCTTGCTTTTCTGTTTGGTGACTGCTAGGACATCACGACCAGGACAAAGCTGGACCTCAGGTGCTCTCAGCAGAAAGCCTCTATATGAGATCAGCAAGGAAGCCAATAGCAAATGTGGCTGTGACCCAGACCCCAGTCATTTAGACCTTGTCGAGGCCTCATCGTCCCTCACCTAGACCTCATGACAACTGTGGTTTCTTTAGCCCGTCACCTGCCGCCATCTGCCCTCCACCCGGGCTCCCAGAGTGTTTTCTCTGGTTCTCACCTCTGCTCATGCCTTGTTCCTACTCAACACCTCCCATGGTCCCCTCCACCCCCTGACAGAGCCCAGTGGCTTCTGACTCCACTTCACATCGGCAGCTATGACTGCACCAGAACTCTCGCCTCAAATCCCTCCCCGCAGCATACACCCACGGCCCCTCACTCACCTCAGGGCTGGACCAGAGCTGCCACGCCTTGGCCAACAGGTGGAACTCCATCATCTGGTTCAAAGGATTTGGAAAGGTCTGGTATTAGCCCCGCTGCACTGTAACCAGTGTCCAGTTACAGAGCTGTTCCTGTAAATGACCTCATTTCACTCTCCGCGTTCGTTGGACTCCCGGGAGACAGGAAGTCTCAGGCTCAGGAGGCAGGGACTCTGCCGGGCAAGTTCAAAGGCAGAGCTGGCCAGAGTGCTTCGGGCCGCTGAGGCAGCAGTTCCCAGGATCCACAGAATTCCTCTTCTTTTACAAAAGAGGAAACAGAGGTACAGCAAGGTCACAGACCCGCTTGCATCCCAAAGCCACTGAGTGATGGACGGCATGGCTCCAGCTCCACCACCATGCTCAGCCCGCCCACCACCGGGCAACCAGCAAGCTGCTCTATGACCAGTTATCACGCTCCATTGGCCCCCCGGAATGGGATTTTTCTGGAGCGTTATTTACGTACTGTGACAGGGAGCTGCCATTGACCCAGACAAGGGATGACCTATGACTGAAGTGACTCCACAGTCCTTGAGGGGAGTCCCTCTTCTGGGGGCAACTCTGTCCCTGTGTGTACCAGGTCTGTGCTAACTAATGGGACCTGGTGGCAGGGAAGGACCTGCATCCTAGAACAGGCTCCACAGTTCAGCTCTGGTGGAGTGGAGGGCTCTCACGAGGTGCAGGGTGACCCCACAGCAGGGGTCAGATCTGCAGCAGTGTGCACTCCAGCCTCCCATCAGTCCCTTTGGTCCAGTGCGAGAGAGACGACTTTCTAGTCAAGTCCCAGCTATACTGCACAAAGCAGCTGGACCTGGGGTGACCCTTCTCTGCTTTCAAAGAAGAGATTGGCTACAGTTTTGCATGTGAACCAGAGACCTCGTCTGGCGTCTGGCCCGTGTTCAGGTGGAAGAGCTTGAAATGTCATTTTTCCCTGGGGTATTCCAGAAGAGCCTTGCCTTTGACAAGGTAGTAAAACGCGTGTTTACAAGAAAGATAAGAGGAGGCTGGCAGCCTTGGGCCTCTGTGGCTGTTTCTCAAAGGTGTTGCTTTGAAGCATTCAGAGTAGAGATGTCTCAGAGGGAGCAGCCTGTGCCTGGCCTCAGGGTCCCCAGGGTGATGATCGATCGTCTATTTCTGCCTTCTAGATTCCTCCTCCCTCTCCCCCCGTGGCACATGCCAGCAGATCCTGGCTGGAAGCCAGCCTGGACGTGCTGGTCACTCAGTGGCTGTTAGACGGGCTGGCTTGTCTGTGTACTTCACCCAACACTCAGCTTCACAGTGATCAAACTCTAACACGCCCTCCGTTATTTCCCCTTTTCTAAACAATCGCGTGATGCCCTGACTCTTCAGCAAATTTCACACAGCCTACCTTGACAGCCTCGTCCATCCCTCCTGTTCCCACACTCTTAGCTGATTGCTGATAAAAGTTTCCCTTGTTCCTAAACATGGTCTTTCCCCATGCTGTTCCCAGGGGCTCAATGCTCTTCCTACCTTCTGCTACCCATCTTTTAAGAGCCGGCCTCTTCTGTACTGGCTTTGAGGCCAACATTTACCCATACGGATGATATCAATGTCTTTGTATATCTACTTGTCTTATGGGCTCTACCATGAGGTGACCATTGGTGGGATGGACACTCACCCTTGGGATCATCTTCCCATCTGTGACAGGGCAGATGAGCACCTATACATGAGTGTGGAGTCCCTTGTGAGCTGCGAAGGGCGGGAAACATGGCGGAAGGTCCCCTGGATCCAGTACATCTGCTGCAGAGAGACACTAAAGATTTGATCTCTATGCACTGGGAGCCCCGCCCCCACCCATGCTGCCAGCCAGCCGGATCTCTAGATGGGTCAGCTGTACTGCTATGAAAGTCAGAAAAGACAGGTGAGTTGGAGACCACTTTCTGGCCAAGCCTCCCCTGGCAGGGCTGTGGAAATGTGAGGTCCCTTCCTAGCAGGGTTCTGATGTCTGTTCTGCACACCCCTGGGTGCTGGGACAGTGGGAGAAGGGCTGAAATGTCTCAGGTTAATAACCAGAGTGAAACAGACAAAGAGCGGGGTAGAGCGGGCAGAGCACCGCTCCGCTGGTTAGGTGACTGAGGAGCGAGGCGGGCAGCTCGGCCGACCCTATGACTGCCACTGAAAAAGAGGACAGGAACAACGGCTTGTTCTTGACGTAACTGCCCCCTGGACAGAGGCTGGAACTGCCGTTCAGTAGGTAGGGTGCTTGCTTGCCCAGCGTGCATAAAACAACAACAAAACAGACAAACCAACAATAAACAACAACAACACCCTGGATTCCATTCCCCCAGCGCCACATAAACCTGGCATGACGTCAGACGCTTGTAAAACTCCGGAACTGAAAGCGGCAGGATCGAAAGTTCAAGGTCATCCTAGGCTACATTGTAAGTTCAAGGCCAGCCTGGGCTACATAGCAAATTCAAACAAACAAAAACCATGAAGGGGTTGGGGTGAAGCAAACTGCTTCGTTCTCATGTACAAACAACTCCACAGTTAGATTTCCTTTCCACTAGGCACCTGTTCTAAATCTCCACACCGTGGCTGTGTGTTGCCAGGGAGCCACAGTTCCTCATCAGGACAGAAATCTCCTCAGCCCAAAGAACCGCCTGCAACAGGATTCTGGTAATGAAGACAGCGGCTGCGTACTGTGAGCGGAGAGGGGCTGGTACCCACTCAGCCGCAAAGCCAGCCGGACATGCCAGCCCTGACCACATGGCGGGCCCGAGGGACAGCCTGCGCAGCCCAGGAAATGGTCCCTCACGACAGGGTCGGGAATTCCATGACTTCTCCTGACTTTTAGAGGTAAAGAAAAAAGGACTCAGAGAAGTGAAGTCGCCCACCCAAGGTCACACAACCCAGTGGCTAGATCAAGCTTCAAAAGGAAGTAAGGCTCTCTGGCTGCTGGAAAGCGTGCCCTGGCGGGTGGAGTCTCCCTTCAAGGTCAGGCTGGCTGGACTCCACTCTGTGGCAGGGCTAATGGACACACAACAGAGGTCTGGGACGTGCAGGCCGGTGACCTGGATTGCACCTGACACTTTGCTCGCTGATGGACAGGTGACTCACATCCGTGCGTGCCACGGTCTGCATTGTCCCTGTGGTAGCTCCCGGGGAGTGGGGCGGGCACTCTAAATGTTCCGGTCCCAGCGGGAGGCATGAGGGCAGACTCTTAGAAGGAATTAATAATACCCGAGGAATTCCTTCCGAACAGTGGGGGGGAATAAAGATTCTTCAAAAAAGGCCTAATAGCAAATTTTCTGGATTTTCCAGCTAATTTGAAGGTACCTACTTGGAACATTTTCTTGTCAGAAAAGATTTTAAAATACATTCATTCAGTGTGACATGATAATTGGGCCTGGCTGTCTGATGAATGCCTTTTATCTCTTCCCCGCGCTATTGTTCAGTGGGATGGAGCCAATGGGCTGCACTGGGCACTTTGTTAAATGCACCAACAGAGACACACGCGAGGATTCTGGTCACCGGAGACAGCGAGGTCTCAGAGGTGCAGCTGGAAGCGGATAGGACCAAGTGTCCAGAAGTGGGGGACACTTAGTGGTTAGAGAAGGCATTTCCTCACGGTGCACATGAGAAGACCACAGTCCAGGGAGGAACAGGGAGCTGCTAAAGTCTCTCAGCTTGGGGGTGGCTGAGGCGCTACCTGGATCTGCCTTTCCCGAGCCAGACTGACTCCAGGTCCCCGTGCCTGCCTCAGGAGGGGTCTGTGAAATCAGACACTGCAGTGGGCAGCTTATATCTGGGTCAGGCTGCCCCTGGCCCCACTTACCCTCTGCAGCAGAGAGCCTGCCCTCCGGGCTGCAGGACTGGGCAGCCCCAAGGGTTGCGTTATCGTGGCCAGCTATTCCCTGCCGCGCGGGTGCAGAAGCAGCTATTTCCACGGGTCCTTCTTCCTCTCTATCGTTTATGTTTTCCTTTCCTTTAATGCTTTTGTTTTATCAAAGGCAGATTTCCAGGCCTGGCCATCTGACAGTCATCTGCAAAGGAACCATGTTTCTTTATCACCTTTATGTCTTTCCCCCCATCATCATTTTTCTATTGAATTTGCTTCCAATTTATTTTTTAGAACCCAGAGACGCTGTGGAGTGTCTCAGAGCCCTCCATATGTTAATAAGGTGCTCATGGACGTGCAGCTTGGGTGTTTTCCTCCTCCAAGCAGGCCATCCTTCCTTCTAAGAGACAGCTTGTCCTCAAAAATGCCCTTCATTAACATTTAACGAATAGAACAGTTTCCACTGGGGTTAAGAAGTTGACATTTCCATTGTTTTTCTTAGAAAACAGCACAACATTCATCGTGCCCTCAAGGGACTGAATTTTCCACAGAAGTGAGGTAACAAAGGCTAGGAGTCCATACCTGGTCGCATGTGCTGTTATTTAGACACGTTATGCCTGTCTGTGGCTTTTCATGCGTAATCACATCTCTGTGTTTGAAAGTGTGTTGATGACATTTTACACGTGGTGGTGATTGTCTGCCAATGTGTAATTGACTATGTGTATGTCTGAGCTAATGGTGTGTGTGTGTGTGTGTGTGTGTTACGGATATGTGCTGTACATGTGTGATTGTGTTTGTGCATAAATTTGTGTTCATATGCTTTAGTGTGTCTACGCACATAGAGAGAAGTGCGTACTTATGTGGAAGTGGGTGTTATGTGTCTGATATCTGCGAGCCTGTGTATCCCAGTGTCTGGATGTAAGCTCCTGTGTGTGGCTTAGTCTTTGTCCTGTTTGCTTGAGTGTTTGGGAGCCCCAGGGATGCCTGGCTTTGTGTTCAGAACCCCTTATAAACATATACACAGCGCCCTCCGGTGGACACTGTTGGAATGCATCCACAAACAAAAAAACAGGCATGCTCAAAATCGTGTTGAATTCAAAACAGGGTTTCTGGTTCTATGCAGGGCCAAGTTTCTGGAATGTTCCTTAAGAAAAAGGGGTGTGTTGTGCTTCCGGACTAGGTACTCACTCAACAGAGAACCCCCATGGGCCCAGTGTAAGCACATGCCTCATGGTGCCATGAAGAAGGAGCTTTTTCTCTGGTTTGCGGACAGGATCACTGGGCTTCCTCTCAGTCGGAAAAGAGTTATCTAGTCCCCAGAAACTACCATCCTGCGCATTTCTGGGACCCTGCATTCTCTGTCAGCCTCCTCGGCCCCATCCTGGGAGTATATCCAGCTCATTGCCTTTCAGGTACCATATGAAGTCCTCCTGGTCTAGGAAATGAGTCGGCCCCTTCACCAGAGACGGTGTGTTTGTTTCCCAGTGCCCTCCAAAAGTTTGTGTCACAAACTTAGAGGCTAAAATAGGTCACTTGTCTAAAATGGGGCATCAAAGACCAGATGCGGTGGCTCATACCTTCAAACCCATGCTTAGACAGCAAAGGCAGGTGGACTGTCAAAAGCTGGAGGCCAGCCTGGTCTACATAAAGAGTTCAAGCCCAGCCAGGACCACAGAGACCCTGTTTCAGACCGAAACAACAAATAAAGGTGGGCTCAAGAGGCAGGGAGAGGATTGTGCCCTGGTCTCCACCCCTTCCAGATGTGGCCTGGACTCTGGGTGACTGCTCAGTCACCTCTGCCTTCCACCAGCACACCTCTTCCTCGGACTCCCAAGTCCTTCCCTCCCTTATGAGGACCGCTGGGAGTGCCTGGAACCCACCCGACACCCCAGATCTTCTCTCCATCTCCAGACCCCCAGCTTTAGCCTGTGTGACGGTTTGAATATGAACAGTCCCCACAGGCACAAGCATCTGAATGCTTAGTCACCAGGGAGTGGGACTGTTTGGAAGGATTAAGAGGCGTGGCCTTGTTGGAGGACATGTGTCACTGGGGGTGGGCTTTGAGGTTTTTGAAGGCAAACCAAGCCCAGACTGTCTGTGCCTAGGGGTCAGGGTGTAGGACTTTCAGCTCCTGCTCCAGCACTATGTCTGCCTGCATGCCGCCATGCTCCCTGCCATGATGATAATGGACTAAACCTCTGAAGTCATAAGCAAGTTCACAATGAAATGCTTTCTTTTGTAAGAATTGCCTTGGTCATGGGGTCTCTTCGCAGCATAGAACAGTGACTAAGACACCCTGACAGCAAAGCCACTTTTGTTTGGGAGGGGGATGCTTGTGGGATTGATGAGGAGGATGTGAACATCCTGGGGAGTATCACCGGACCACCACAAATGCCCCCTCTATGGGTTGACAGTATCAGGACACAGGCAGGTGCTGTGAGTGGCATGTTCACCCCAGCCTGCCTCTCACTGCCCCCAACTGTCCTGTCTCATTCTACACTGTCTAGAGTCCAGCGGGACAAGCACTGTGATTACAGCTGTGGCGTGAGTGCAGCTACACTGCCATGGTTTGGATCTTGAATGCCCCCTCAGAGGATGCAGGTTGAAGTCTTGCTCCCCAGCCTGTGGGGAGCAGACGGTCACTGCAGGAGGTGGGGCCAGTGGGAGGAAATTAAGCTATGCAGGTGTGCGCGTGAGGGGCCTATGCAGACCCTGGCCTTGTTTCCTTTCCTCTTGTATAGTTTTTCCAAAGATTTGTCTAACCTTTATTTACTTAGTTACGTATTTGCGCGTGTGCCGGTACATGTCACAGCGCACATGTCGAGGCCAGAGGACAACTGTGGCGGGCAGTTCTGTCCCTCTGCCATCTGGGTTCTGGGGACTGTACTCAGGTCATCAGGCTTAGAGGCCAGATCACCCCTCTTTCTGCTTTGTTTTCTTACTTCCAGGGCTCCACAAGGTGAGCAGGCTTCCACCACGATGTTCTGTGCTGCCATAGACCCAAAACAGCAGGGCTGACTGTGGACAAAACTGTAAGGCAAAAGAAGTCTTCCTGTGGCCAGGTGGTGGTGGCGCACTCCTTTAATCCCAGCACTCAGGAGGCAGAGGCAGGCGGATCTCTGTGAGTTCGAGGCCAGCCTGGGCTACAAAAAGAGTTCCAGGAAAGGCTACACAGAGAAAGCCTGTCTAAAAAACCAAAAAAGAAGAAGAAGAAGAAGAAGAAGAAGAAGAAGAAGAAGAAGAAGAAGAAGAAGAAGAAGAAGAAGAAGAAGGAGAAGAAGTCTT